ATGAAACTAGAAATGGAAAATTATTGACAACATGCATGATTAAGCCACTATGCAGTATATTCTGGATGGATAACCATTTTTTATATGCTGTGGCAATAATTAGGGGATGAATGTAAATTAATTAATTAAAAAAATTTCAGGAGAAAAAATTTCCTAAAAAATAAAAATAAATAAAAGTTAATGATTAAAAAAAAATCTTCAAGAGGAGGATGGAGGAGAAAGGACTGCAGCATGGCCATCCCTGTGGGGGGATGGTTTCTCACTTTCTGAATCTCTGTCTCTCCAGCGAGCACACCATTCTACAGCAAAAATCTCTCTAAAAAAAAGAAAAGAAAAAAATCCAGAAATAAAAAACATGAAATATTTCATACTGAATTACTGGGGGAAAAAAAGGAAGCAAGAAAGCTTATTTGATCCAATGGAATAAGCTCCTTAAAATTAACAATATCATCTGGCAGAATTAAGAAAACGTTTTGTCACAGGAAGAGAGCCACGAAAAGAATCATTTGAGTTGTTAAAAGATAAATCTGGGGGCCAGACAGTGGTGCAGCAGTAAAACAAGATGCTCTCTGAGGGGAGTTTCCTATTCAGATCTGGAGAACCCCTCAGTATGCTGAGCACGTGTATGCCCAGGATACGGGGGTGGCTAATGCTAGAAGTGGATCATGATATCGAGACCCTGTTTGGGGTGCTGTCTCTCTCTCTTTCTGAAGAAATAAATAAATGAACTTTAAAAGAAGATAAATCTGGGTTTCAAAGATAATTTTTTTTTATAAAACTCAAGTATTTTCTATACAAAACATACTCACATTTCACAAAAGGAATGAAGAAAGCTTCCCTCTCTTTTGACTCCACAGCTTGATTCCCTAGAAGTAACCATGTTTTTTATTTTCTTATATATCCTATCCTGTTAGAAATTTTCTTGCATGTACAAGAATATATTATTTATAAGATACATGTGTGTATATATATATGACTATAACATTATATATTTTTTTCTTCTTGCATTATTTCTGAAACTGTCAATAAAATCATTAATTTTTAAATTCCTGATTCTTAAAGAAAAACTCCCTATAAACAAGAAGTAAAATCCTCACACACAACAATCTCAGGTCTTCATGAGAGTTAGCAAAAGTCCAAGTACTCTGTGAAACAGAAATAATCAAATGCCTCAAAATATTTAATTTCCTATTCCAGGAATGTGAAACAGGTGTAATTAAAATAACACTTTTTTAATTAAGTGACCTCTCTTGACCAACCATCTGTGAATAATTCAGATTTCCCCCTTATTATTACTGTAAAATTAAAACGAGGTCATATAAACAGGAAGATCCTCTTTAACTATCTTTAAGCACCAGCAATATATATTTTCCACCAGTTAAAATCCTTAATGATACAAAAAATCTGTCAAGCATAACTTCCCCAATTCATTTGCCTGAAACCATCAATATTTTATCATGCACTTGCAGTTGGCTTTAATTTAACAGTCCAGGTTACTAATCAAACAAAACACCCAAGTCATTAAAAGTTAGCGTGCCATTTAGAAAGTGCATTTCACGTTTATTAAAATATCTTTCATGCAGCCATTAGAAACCTAAAGTTTTAATTACAATCAGATATTTAGTTCTACTCCAGTTATGCATTTGGCACTCTCTTGCAACTGCCCTGATTAATCTTCCAGACCAAGTTCATCCATTACCTCCTGAAATTATTTTCCTCTCAACTTCTTCAGAATTCATCTTTCTACCCCACCCGCCACAAATAAGTAAAATGCAATTGAAAGGTGTGCAAAATAACTACCCAAAAGATAATTCGTTTAAAAGATTTCATTTCAAATGTAATTTACCCTTCATAAAGTACCAAAGAGGCATTATTCAGAAAGACAAATTGAAATTGAAAATTAGCTCTTCATGTCTTTATTGTCAATTTTCATTATTTATTTTGCTTTCTAATGATGGAAAAAGTTCAATAAGCATTTTTCTTATAATTTTCTAACTGGGTGATTCAACGAAAAATTTGTGTTTTTTGTTTTGTTTCTGTTTTTTGTTTTGTTTCACTTTCCAGTCTCTCTTACCTTCTATTCTTGCCCTAAAGTTTCATGAGGGGATTGCCAACATGTAAAATCAGTTTTTGTGTCAAATCTAGCTCCGTTAAATTATAGCATTTACATTCTCCATCAGTCATATTAACATGCACTAAAAAAAACACATTTTAGAAGAGATTTAGAGCTGACAGTAGGAATGGGGTCACTTCTATTTTCAAACCCATTAAGTCCTGGCTACTTTCTAGTACCTTTTATATATGTGTGTGTGTGTGTATATATATAAGGCATATATATATATATA